GTTAATTGTTTTTATTTGCTTTGTGTTTATATCTGTTCTATGTCATTTATATGGATGTTTCATTCCCTCTATATTTCACAGCCAAATACTTTTGGATGTGGTTCTTGTGTTCCAATTGCTGCTAAATTGCTTTATTTCTTTCAGGGCTTTGATTATTATATGACAGATTAAAAATAATAAACATTAATGAAAAAATGTTTCATTTACATTAGTCCTAGAAAAGCATGAGGAAAATGTAAACTTAGTTTTTATTACAGTGTATTTTTTTTAACATAAATTACATTTTTATCACAAAAAACGATGGACACTTCCATTGTTAAATTTGTTCTAGCAAAGAGTATTTTCAAAAACTAATCATATATTTCATTTATATTGTTGGGGAATGAGTTAAAGACAATATACAGTGGGGCAAAAAAGTATTTAGTCAGCCACCAATGGTGCAAGTTCTCCCAATTAAAAAGATGAGAGAGGCCTGTAATGTTCATCCTAGGTACACTTCAACTATGAGAGACAGAATGGGGGTAAAGAATCCAGGAAATCACATTGTAGGATTTTTAATGAATTAATTGGTAAATTCCTCGGTAAAATAAGTATTTGGTCACCTACAAACAAACAAGATTTCTGGCTCTCACAGACATGTAACTTCTTCTTTAAGAGCCTCCTCTGTCCTCCACTTGTTAACTGTATTAATGGCACCTGTTTGAACTCGTTATCAGTATAAAAGACACCTGTCCACAACCTCAAACAGTCACACTCCAAACTCCACTATGGCCAAGACCAAAGAGCTGTCAAAGGACACCAGAAACACAATTGTAGACCTGCACCAGGCTGGGAAGACTGAATCTGCAATAGGTAAGCAGCTTGGTGTGAAGAAATCAACTGTGGGAGCAATTATTAGAAAATGGAAGACATACAAAACCACTGATAATCTCCCTCGATCTGGGGCTCCACGCAAGATCTCACCCCGTGGGGTCAAAATGATCACAAGAACGGAGCAAAAATCCCAGAACCACACGGGGGGACCTAGTCAATGACCTGCAGAGAGCTGGGACCAAAGTAACAAAGGCTACCATCAGTAACACACTACGCCGCCAGGGACTCAAATCCTGCAGTGCCAGACGTGTCCCCCTGCTTAAGCCAGTACATGTCCAGGCCCGTCTGAAGTTTGCTAGAGAGCATTTAGATGATCCAGAAGAGGATTGGGAGAATGTCATATGGTCAGATGAAACCAAAATAGAACTTTTTGGTAAAAACTCAACTAGACGTGTTTGGAGGAGAAAGAATGCTGAGTTGCATCCAAAGAACACCTACTGTGAAACATGGGGGTGGAAACATCATGCTTTGGGGCTGTTTTTCTGCAAAGGGACCAGGACGACTGATCCGTGTAAAGGAAAGAATGAATGGGGCCATGTATCGTGAGATTTTGAGTGACAACCTCCTTCCATCAGCAAGGGCATTGAAGATGAAACGTGACTGGGTCTTTCAGCATGACAATGATCCCAAACACACCGCCCGGGCAACGAAGGAGTGGCTTCGTAAGAAGCATTTCAAGGTCCTGGAGTGGCCTAGCCAGTCTCCAGATCTCAACCCCATAGAAAATCTTTGGAGGGAGTTGAAAGTCCGTGTTGCCCAGCGACAGCCCCAAAACATCACTGCTCTAATAATAATAATAATAATTATAATATATAATATTTTTATAGCGCCTTTCAGGAAACCCAAGGTCGCTTTACAAGTCGGGTAGGGGGGGGGAGTAGGGGAAAAAAGGCAGACAGGTTAAGGGGGTGGGGGGGGGAAGTAGTAGATCTCTAGAGGAGATCTGCATGGAGGAATGGGCCAAAAATACCAGCAACAGTGTGTGAACACCTTGTGAAGACTTACAGAAAACGTTTGACCTCTGTCATTGCCAACAAAGGGTATATAACAAAGTATTCAGATGAACTTTTGTTATTGACCAAATACTTATTTTCCACCATAATTTGCAAATAAATTCTTTAAAAATCAGACAATGTGATTTCCTGGATTCTTTCCCCCATTCTGTCTCTCATAGTTGAAGTGTACCTAGGATGAACATTACAGGCCTCTCATCTTTTTAAGTGGGAGAACTTGCACAATTGGTGGCTGACTAAATACTTGTTTGCCCCACTGTATATAAGGAATGGTGCATGTTGAATTTAGTTCTGTATTTTTTTTAAACCCTGAAATATGTCCCGGGTCAATTTGACCCGAACATTACCAAAGGGTGCGAAATGTGAACATAACACAAGGGTTAATAGTTTTATGGGCCAAGCTACACCCTTTAACTGAAAAAGTGCTGCGGTTAGTATTTTCTATGTGAATGGAAGTTTTGTCAAGATTTTCCATAAACTATTTGATTACAGGTGATTTTGTTCGTGTGTGTGTGTGTGTGTGTGTGTGTGTGTGTGTGTGTGTGTGTGTGTGTGTGTGTGTGTGTGTGTGTGTGTGTGTGTGTGTGTGTGTGTGTGTTGCAGGAACTGGCACTGGGACGAGCCCTCCTGCGGCTATGAGGTGTGTGTGGTGATGTACCACCAGCCGTCCGCTCCTCCCGGTCTGGGGGGGCTCTACATGTTCCAGTGGAACGACGATAATTGTGAAACTAAGAACAACTTCATCTGCAAATACACTGCAGGTACCGCTGATGCAGTATTTACATTTTATTTTAATTGGAAAATACTACTCTAACACTACTGACCGTGATTCATTTTCTCCACAGAGAAGCCACTGGAACCTTCTCCGTCTCCCAACGCCACTCAAACAAGTAAAAAGGCTCAGCACTATTTAGCAGACATTTTGGAGACTTTATAAGTTCAATACAGTGATGTTTTTATGATGCTACTCTTTACAGATGTCTTCCCTTCATCTGTGCTGCCGTGGAATCCAAGTGACTCTAACCAGGGCAGAATCACAGGTTGAAAAACATGTTTAATTTCTGCGAAAAAGACTATACACTCATGTCATATCAGTGACTACATCTGGTTCCCTCTGTTGTTTGCCTCTCTTTCAGCCCTCAATTTGATTTACATCATCATTCCCACCATTCCCCTGATAGTGCTGTTACTCACAGTGATGGGAGTCTGCTGCTTCAAAATGATTGTCGGACGGTGAGCATCCTAATAACATGCAACTACTAAATACTTCTTAACCTTATTTTTCATTTAGAAATATTTACTTCATTGACCTTTGTTCGTATCAGTAGTAAAACATAGTTATAAAAGCCCAGTTTTACCATTTAATGGGAGAATCTGAGCTTCATCACATCGTTTTTTCTAACATTGGCAAAATGCTGTAATTATAATCTTTTCATAGAGAAAAAAACAATAACATAATGTGTCCTTAATTGATCCATTTATATGATCAGTTTGACATATACTATGCTGACAAATGCAATTAAAAAAGACTATGACCAACAATCATTTAGTCTTCAGTCTGTGGCACCAAGCTTCAAGCCAAGTTCAATCCACACCACATTAAAAAAATATATAAAACTACAATTGCACTTAGAGAATACAGATCTCTGCCAAGGCTAAAAAAAAAATCTGTGTATGCGGTAGCTAGGGGATGAAAATCATGTGCTACAGGAACCCTGCTGTAAATATTAAAGTCTCGCTCAGGTTTTATAATAAATATTTGTGATGTTATGTTGTGCTTCTCTTCTGTTTGTATGACAGAAGGAGGAAACAGCAGAAATCAGAAGTCTGCCAGACAGATCCCGGCCTCTGCTCCAGCCCGGTCCCAATCGATGTCTACAACGTCATTCAGTCCCAGAAGGAGGACGACCTGGTTTCGTCTCGCCCGAACACCAAAAACACCTCCTTCCTATGCTCCTCCCCGGACACCCTGACAGGTGACTACGACAACCTGGGTGGTCGGGACACAGAGAGCGGGTTTGTGACGCTTGCCAGCACAGAGAGTGGCTTCCTCAACTTTGACCTCAATGACCTCAGCCTTGGGCGACGTGCCACCCGCGACTTCTACGACAGCAGCTTGGGTCGCCCGGCAAAGAGAGATTTACAGGACAGCAGTGTGAGCGGCGGCACTGGGCACCGAGAGTTTTATGACAGGAGTCTCGGTCGCCGTACTACAAAGAGTGAGCATTACGGCAGCAGTGTGTACGGAGACCATGTGTTGTATGATGGCAGTATCAAAGGAGGCAGTGACCTCTTTGATCCCAAACTGAGGCCTGGAAGTCACACAGTGAAAGCTGACCTCTATCAGACATATACCACCAGCGGCAAAGGAGACACTTACCAAACAAGCCTGGGAACCTATGGAAACCGAAAATCCTACCAAGCAACCCTGGATTACTACAGAAATGGCCTGAACTTCGATGGCGGAAGGAGATACTTCAATGAAGAAGAATGGATCAACAGAGAGAACTACTGATCCTCTGAAGAGCTCCTTTGTTGTGTGTGAAGCAGTGATGTGTGATTGTGGATAGGGAAAAACTGTGCACGTACATGGTTGCGATTGTTTGTGCTGTATATTTCTGAAGCCATTTAGGGGCTTCAAAGCTGATGACGACATGCTTAAATCATATTTTATAACTGCCACTAACCTGAAGCCAGTGTGGTACTTTGTGTGTGGTTTGCATGGCCTTGTCATGCTGCCTTTGCTTGGTAGGAACACTTTGCCTGCAAATACTGTTTTGATCACACCAAAGTCTACTACCTCAAACAGAAACTGCAAGTGTGTTTTGACATGGCCTTAAATGTTGAGATGTCGAGAACTTCCCTTATGTACAAATGCCGCTCTGGCTTCAAAGACAATGCTAGCATCACAGTAAGGGCATGATATTAAAGAGAATGACAACATATAGCATCATTAACATTATTTATTATGAATGTTTATGCCTTGACGTCTCTCTTGTAAGTGAGAGTGGTTTGTATGTTTGTAACATCTTCAAATAAAATGAGATTGAATCAGTCTGCTTGTGGTGAAGTGATTCTTCTGTCCCAGTAGAAACGATAACAGGAGGATTGTGATGGCAGTCAATCATGTTTTTATTCACATTCCAAAGTTAAATTAATAACGCACAGTCCCTTTCATTCATCTCCAACACTCACACATTAAGATACTGTTCAGGTGCAGAGGAGCAAACACTACAAGATTTGGCTCACAATTCAGCAAAAAAGATTCCATTCAGGCCACATTTTAAAATAAAGTATGAAAAGGAAATATGTTTGTGTGCCTGTCCTGCGCTAAATACAGTAAAATCTTGTAGTGTTCTTCCACTGTAAGACATACATTTACACACTGAGAAACACACACTGACAGACACACAAATTGAGATAAAAAAACAACAACATTTTCGCTTCACACACATAACACAGTCATAATGTCCTTAAAGGGTTTGATATCTTCAAATGAGTCAAGAGACAAAATACTTCAAAACACATACATGCTTACATGTCCACACACACACACAAATACCGGTTGTTTTGAGGGAAAGTTATTGATTTTCGATGTAAGATTTTGTTCTTGGGGCCAGGTTAAGGTACAGAGGTCAGCCATGGGTCCGCTTACGAGACTGCTTTTGCCGCCGTGGTTTCAAGATGACGTAGCGCCTGTAGGTGGTGTGATGTTCAGATACAAACGGGATGTAGAACGCTCTGAAGAGGGGATGTGACCTGAGAGAACAAAAGTATTATTTTAGAAATTGTATCGGTCTCTCATAAGTCTTTGTTAGTGTAAAGTGTATTCATATTTATCGTGTTATTTTAGTAAGTCAGAGTAGAGAATCTCCATTTTACATTTTCTTTTGTCCATATTTTTTCCTCGTAAAAATATTTTAAAGCTACAATATATAATATTTGTTGTCAATGTGCTTGAAAGGTTTTTTTTAAACAAGATTTCAGTGTGAATTACGAGTTTGGGAAAATACCTTGATGCTTGAAGGAAAGGCTTGAAGGCGATGATGTTCCAGTCCTCTTTGTTAAGAGCATAACGTGGCTCCAGTGGCGTCTCTTCCTCCGTGTCCAGATCTACTACGTAGTGGCACTGCCGTAGATCCATCTGCACAGAGAATAAATACACATTTAAGAACTACTATTCCAGTACAGTCTCTTTGTGTCAACACAGTCCGAGTGACTCACGTATCTGGAAGGCTCCTCCAGATTCTGGTCGTTCATATGAGCCGGGATGATCTGTGTGGCCAGCGGATCGGAGGCGTACGGCTGAGGCAGCTGCCCTTTGAACTCAGACTGAATGAAGTGCAGTCGCCAGCTGGGGATTAGAAAGAGAAACTATCATCACCTGACAAAAGCAGAACACACTTTCCATACTTTATTACACGTTGAAGTCATGGATACTGACTTGTTCGGCAGTAGGAAGCTGCTTGGGAATCGGTGCCACTCTTTCCCCACACACACACTAACAGGTCGGCCTTCAGGGACTGCGTGAAGAGCCGGGTCCTTAGCGATGCGATGAAACTCTGGGAACAGGTCTAGAGGGGCGTGGTAGCCTGGAGACAGAGGAGATACATTTAATTTAATCCGGTTGGAACTATTGCATGTCTGAAGGTGACTGTGTGTACACACCTGGTTTATTATAAAACTGAAACTAAAAGGAAAGTAGGCAGTAAAAAAAATATTGTTATTTGACCAAAACTAAAATCAATACGAAAAAACTAATAAAATAAATGTAATTTAATTCATGTTTTAGGTTTTTGGAGAGAACATTTAGAAAGAAATAGACAGCATGAATTTCAATCAACTCGCAGAACATTGAGCCACAGAAATTGAACTGACTTGACCCTCCTTTAGGAGCTGGAGCTACTGTATGCCCCAATTGCTTTACATTGGACATTTAGGTGGTGTGAACTTTAGACATAAAACATTACTATTGAAGTTTGAAACTTTCTAAAAAAGTGAAACTAAAGTAACACCCACCTTTGAAGAGGGCGACAGAGCGAGACAGGGACAGCACTGAGAAGACCACGACTGCACTTAAAGCCAACCAGTTGGAGGAGACCGTGTAGTGCTCCAGCCGGTACCGCTGGAACAGGAAGTGGTAGCATTTCTGCAAAATATGAAATTAATCTGTAAAAACAGATTCTAAAAAGGGGCCTGATACATATTGTATGTTATGCTAACACACCTGTAGAGAGGAGAGAGCCACTGCCCCACAGAGGCAGATGAGAGGGTAGATGGGAAACAGGAAACGTTCTTCTTTATGAGCTCTGGTGAAGAAAACCAACATCCACAGATACATGGGAGACAGAGTCAGCCAGTATGGACGGCCCAGGTTCTGCACTGCAGGAAACACATGTGCACACAAGATTAGATTTATTTCTCATCTCTGCTGCAACAGGAAATAGGGATTTGAATTCAATCATAAAAGCATCTTCCCAAAATAACTTGTCAAATAAATGTAAACAGGAGATAATGACGTGAAAAGTGTTGTTGAGGCATGCGTCAAACACCTTTTCCATCCCCAAAAAAGTGCAAGCATGGACAACATATCAGGCTACTACCAATTTATTTTTTAGTCATCACTCAATTTGCAGATTATTTTCTAGGATTATCAATTATTCTATAAAATAAAAAAGGTAAAAAGTGTCCAACCCAGTTATGTCAACGTCCAAGGAGGTCTCTTAAATGCAATGCTTTGTCAGTCAAAATCTCCATTATATTTTTGCATGAAAAATTACTTAAATGATTCATTGATCTATAAAATAATGTGCGGTTTAGTTTTGATCGATTGATTGAATTTTTGCAGCTCACCAACATTCAGTATGTTTTCCATTAGTGTCCTCACCATTGAACCTGTGTAACAGAGTCTCCATCAGAGCGGTGAGGGGCAGAGAGAACAGAGCCAGAGCAAACACCAGGTTGAAGTTCAGGATCCCATTTGTAAAATAGAAATGCCACGGCTCTGTACCTAAAAAACAAACCAACACGGCACTTATTACAGAGTGTGTAAACAATATCACAATACAAGTGCTATAAAAGGTATTGGAATAGTTTCTTAAGTCAAAGATCCCGAGGCGATAGTCAGATAATTTATATATCAGGAAAAACATTCAATACTGTTGGCGGAGACACAAGCTGAATCAGAGTTCCTATACACTTGTGTCTGTGAATAGAAGCCCACATCTAATTACAACCTATTGGCAGCCTTTGAAAGGGTTTAATGTGATTATGTTGATGATGGTATGCCCTCTAGAGCTAACTATCAATAGTGCAGCTTTGAATTGTTAATCAAAAAGAAAAAAAAGGGCTCTGCGTAACATGGCTGAATTAGATCATAGGAAACGGTCAGGCAAAAAACTGATTATGAAAGTTCGAAAAGGGGACTTGCAATTTTTATGTTTTAGAGACCATATTCCAATCAAGTAATAAGTAGGGCCGGGACTTTAACGCGTTAATTAAGATTAATTAATTACACAAAAATTAACGCATTTTAATCGCACTTATTTTTGCACCGCGTAACGTTTCTCACTGGATGAGTTTCAGGCGTACCGTTATACTGGAGCACCAACTAACGTTCATGACTTCAGACAACAACAAACCACAGTGAACAACAGTGGGAAATGTTGTTTTAAAAAACGGACGGATGGAAGCGTCGATAAGAGCACGGTTGTGTGCAAATTATGCAAAAAGGAATTCGCATATCACCGCAGCACATCAAGCCTCAAGTATCACCTCAATGCAAAACATATATCAGCTAGCGTGGAAGCTAGCGTGGACGTTAGCCTCTTTTATCGCGTTCACACCAAAAAGAGCCGGTACTAAAATTAGTTCATGAGAACCTTTTTACCCCCACGAAAGTCCCTGCTAGAGAGCAGAGAGCTGCTAGAGAGCAGGGACTTTCGTACGGCTCTCTTGTGAGAAAAGAGCTATATTTCTGATTGGCTGGGCGGATTGCAAACCACGCCCCGTAAAACTCCCAAAAAGTTTTTGTGAAGCCGCCATTTTATTATCCTCGCATTAGCATTATTAGCATTATTAGCATTAGCCCAGCGCAGAAACGCAGAGAGACTAACTTATGGCAACACAAAATAAAACATGGGAGCGGTGGAGATGAGGAGGTGTCGGCGTTCTGGCGATTTACTCGGAAGGCTGCTGGGACTCCCAGCAGCTTCTACTGAAGCCAGTCCCCAACTCCGGGGACTTCCGGCCGGGGACTTTGGGCGGCAGTATACGACGTGAAGTGGTTTGCTGCCTGCCAGTAAACCCAATGCAGAAGAAGAAGTGACGTCAGCGGCTTCATTTGCCTAATCCTCCCCCAGGTTCAAAGAGTTCTCATGAACTAAATTCTCATGAACCTTTGTGGGAAAAGTACTGCGGTGTGAATGCGCCTAATGGTATACTAAAATCCATGTGAAAAAAATTGCTTCTCACTGTTCTCAGGTCAAATATTTATATGTGATTAAAAATGCGATTAATTTCGATTAATTAATTACAAAGCCTCTAATTAATTAGATTAATTTTTTTAATCGAGTCCCGGACCTAGTAATAAGCCTTACTCAAGATGGTTTGTGAAAATCTTTTTTTCTTTTCTTTCAAAAACACAAAAAACTAAGTGAAGGACCATGAGTTTTGCCAACCAAATGTACCCAACATGATACATAAATGGTGTGTGCTGATGTATATTACCATACAGATCAGGTCCATGTGGTGTGAAGACGTTATAAAGTAGGATATTGAGTGGAGCTATGACCAGTTTGCCATAAAAGAAAGAGTCTACTGCCACCAGGGGAACCTGAGGAAGACACAGCACAAAAGAGGACCTTTTTACATTTGCACACAATACAGCTGTGATACTTTGAATAAAATAATCTGCAAATATCCAAATGTAGAGATCAATTCATAAATGAAAACATATATTCTCACCAGCAGAACAAGCAGAGCAACAACCGACCAGATGATAAAACTTTTCCACTGCCTCTTTAACACCAGCAGGTCGAAGGCGATGGGAATCCTAGGGGGAAAATAAATCAAAGCGTTTATGAAGAGTAGGAATTTAAATAATTTTGAGGCATTCTGGGAGTTAGTTTTGTGTACAAAAAGGCCTTTTGGTTTACCACCTTACCCAATCAGAGCAGAGAACGGCCATCCGACGATGGCACCAGCAGCGACTCCCATAATAGCCAACGGTGTCGAGTCCTGAAACCAGCCCGTCATCGCAACCAGCGTCGTGTACATGCAGAAAGAGGAAGGCAGGAATGCTGAGGAGAAGAGAAGGGTCACAAAAAATGAGCCACAAATTAAGAACCTGATACAGATACATAATACAGATCTGAAAAAAATTAAGAGAACACTCAAAATGTTTCTTAAATCTCAATCTCTACACGTATGGCAGCCATTTCATTCTAGTGTTGTCAGTCGTTTATAGAATACATTTATTTTTTTCATTTTACTCAAACACATACTTATACATTCTAAAACCAGAGCATCTGATAATGCTGCAGTGGTCTCTTGTTTCTTTCCAGAGCTGTATGTTACCACTGCAAGGCCTTGTTCATCTGGCCTTTACAGGAGAACAAAATCACCATGCTGGCCAGAAATGTGTCTTAAAAAAAATGCTTACTCCACAGTGTGCAAACGGCAGTTCTGCTCCATATTTTTGATTAGTGTGCTGACTTGGCAATTAAGGAAGGGATCAATACTGCTCTGTAATAAATATAATAGTTGTATTTTAACACCAAATATACATCAAGAGATAAAAGAAAAAAGGAAACCGGATAAATGACTATTCGACCACGGAAATTAAATGTTACTGAAAAACGTTTATTCTTTGTTTGATTGAATTTGCCGTTTGTTTAAAGTCAGTTGATTCTTCAATGCCTTGGCCAGGACCACTGTGCAAAACTGATTCACAGCTCATTGAGAATATTTGTGGGAAAATACAGATACAAATGGATAAACAAAGTAAATACATGTGACCAACCTGCAGACGAGCAGAACATCCCTGTGCTCAGGACCAGGAATGCTAACATGAGACGGCCCACATGCAGACCAAACTTCTTACAAACCGCCCTGCGTCACACACACAAACACACAAAACTGTTCACCTCCATGTCATCTATTTAAAGATGAATATATAGATATCTATGTAACCATTGTAATATTTGAAAGGAGGAGTGTAGACTCACTTGTAGAAGTAGAGTTCACAGACACAGCAGGAGAATGCTAAGACACATCGTACAAAGTAGAAGACCAACACCTGCAACACAATCATAACACAAACATTACAGTTCTGCAAATATTCTATCACGTGTGTGTGTGTGTGTGTGTGTGTGTGTGTATACATCAATGTGTGTGATTGTGTAAATAAAATAAATACTGTTGGGACGCCACATGTAGGGACATTAACTAAATCAGATATTTCTGAAAGATACATATTTTTAAGAAGGACTAGAGTTCGTAATTAATTTTCCCATATACTAAATAAAGTTTAAGATAAACACAGTCCTCTCATAACACAAAAGACCATTTGAAATACAAAAGAGAGCTGATTATACTGAAGATCAGGTGATAGTCATTTATAGTATCAACAATAACAACAAAGGTTGAATTGACAACAAGTTTATATTAGTTACCTTGTTTGTCTGTAGAACATGGGCGTGCAAACATGCAGGAAGAGCATGTAACCATAGGTAAGCGTACGACCTGATGGCGTAGAGCGGAGAATATTCCCATGTTTGCATCCCTGTACCGTACAGCAGGTAGTGCATCTGTTAAAACAGGCATCGCAACAGTTACAGGTGAACATTTAAAGAAAGAGAAGCAGTATCTTGCTGGAGCGATAAATATATACTGACATGAATATAAGAAGGTTCCTGGAAGAGTCAGAAATGAAAACATATTGTATTTTAGGATTTCTGATAGTAAGCAGCACTCACAGGCTCCCAGTAGTTGAAGGTCTCATCGCAGTCGGAGATGTTGCTGAGCAAGGCTGCACAGAATCGTGCGGAGAGCAGGCATTTAAATGCAGTTGAACCTTCTGGAGCCCATACCTGCCCTGCACGACTTACTGACCTATACACACAACAACAACAAAATAAGATGCACAATTGCTTAATATCCATACATGTGTTTTTAGATCCTTTTCAGCATCAAAATGAATTAAACAAATCAGTGTACTTTAAAAGTACATCATGTATGCTTTCTGAATATTTAATAAAAAATGAAATTGTTTTTAAACAGTCTGATAAGACATGATCTGATGCATTCATATACATCTGTATATTGGCCTTAAATGCTTTTCTATGTCTTTTGATTCCCTACTTTTCTTCAGACTTTCCTCAGTTTTGTATCCTATTCAACTGAATACATTTCATACATACACAGAGGTTTTTGACAGACAAAACAAGGCATTGGAAGACAACACCTTTTATATTTTATGGACATACACATAGAAAACAATCTGCAGATTAAAACATAATAAAAATATTCCTTATATTTACGCCCAACTTTATTTACTTTCATAACCTATGTCTATTTTAATTTCCTCCCAGATGTGGACAGCTGTGTGCTTGTCAGAGCAATCATAATAATAGGTAAAGACAGTGGATGCATTTCATTAGTGTTCATAGCATCAGTGTTGACCCTCAGCCCTCCTCATGTCCTGTTCACACCCAGCATCAGATTAGTGGGCTCAGGTGCAGTTTAGCATTGATCCTCACGTCACGTTACTGTTTGTTATGACACGTCATCTTACAAACTACATAAATGCTTTAAGAGGACTACAACAAAAACAATAAATGATTTCAAATGAACAGGTATGGACGTGCTGAGCACCAGTTGACCCTCTTCGGACAGTGTATCTGTGTCCAGGTATCATAAAGGTGGCAGTGACAGCAATGAATGAATGAAGCTGACCCGAACCAAAATGCTTTACGTTGCTCTATCAAAACACTAACACATTACTTATAGAGGTGGCAATACAATTTGACAACCATCGTATTTATAAGTGCTCTACCGAAATAGTCATGTAGGTTGTTGGGTGGATGTTATAAGTGGTTGATATCGTGTTGTTATTCAAACTTGCTTATGAAAGTAGCTAGCTAGCTAACGTTAGCTCCCCCTGCTCAGGCTGTCAGTCAGACCGGGGATGGAGCTCCCAGCACCGGCCAGTCTAACCTCTCTGCTCCCGGCTCATACTCACTCTTGCCGAGCTTCTGCAGTTTTACTGTCATCGCCACTTTTCTCCTCTTTCGGTGTCCGAGCTTCTGCGGGGACGTTCACGTTGTTTGCATCTTGTCTGCTGCCTCGCCTGGTGCGCTGCCGGAGCGCCTTGGCCGCCATGTTTCCGATGATGCTTCCGAGCAGCGCTTCGTTCATTTTCGGCGCTGATCGGTTAATGACACATATCTTCATTGTAGTTGGATAAGGTCCCCAAAGAATGTAATTGATTGATCTTTTAAAATGTTTCAAACTGAATTGAGGATTGTCCAGCCGATCTGTATTGTTAGTAGCAAAAAGCATTGTCATTAAAGATGCACAAAAAAAGTCCATTCAGTTTAAGCACTCAGCTCTTTACACATTGTCCTTATGTTTAGCACATGTAATAATCAGGTTTAACATCAGCATAGAAGACAAAACATCTCCCTCCCCTGGGTGTTGAACCTCCAGCACCTGCATGAATAACCAATGCATATATACCTCTGGACCACCAAATTGTTTTTAAAACATTGAACACCCAACTACAGTATAGGTCTTGCTGTGATGATTTGGTGTGAATTTGTACATTTAAGCACACAACGAGCACACAGGTATGGAGGACAGAACATGACATGAGTAAAATAAAATAGGCCTACAGGAATAAATACGGGAATGAGTAAAGAAATACAAAAACATTTTACTCTGGGCTCAGCAGGTGAGAAACTGTTGGAAGGCCAGGTGTTGGTGCTGCCGGATTTGGCACCCCAACTTTGTCGAAGATAATCGTACTGTCACCAAAATTACACTGGTGTTTGCTGTCCCCCTCTAGTTTGTGCACACAAAAGTGCTAGTGGAGCACGCTCGTGGACTGTTAGCGCCGGAGCCTCGCATCCCCACTGCGGAGTGGGTCATTCTACAGAAAAGGTGGAAGTGCTGTCACTTACTTTTGCAGACACCAAAATGACGTGGGCCTAATACTCACATTCATTATATATGTTGAATAAATAGAGATTGTCTTTGCAATGGTACTAAATAAAAAATGGTTTTATACGTAAATTGCAATTTATTTAAAATGCCAAGTTCAAGGAACTGCCTTGTCACTTTGATCATACATGGAAGTGGAGCCTATAGTTTTAATTTAAAAGATTTTTTTTTCAATAAATAAATCTAATTTATATTTACATAACATTACAAGCATTAAATATAACACTGAAATGGTAACAACAAACGCAAATTATTATTAATATCAAATAAATGTTAGTCACCCAAAATTACGTCATTGGTGTTACTGCTAAACAAAACGCTTTTATTTTTTAAATAATGTACTGTCTCTGAAGTGCCTCCTGCAACAAGAGATCATTTGAGGCAGTGCAGTGGACAAAGACATAAGGAAAGTCAGATACTTCTTACTTTGTTTGTTAAAGGTGTCATTTTATCTTCAAATTTTACGTGCGTCTTTCAAGTCTGTCATTAGTGTTACTCATTGCATAGCCCTAGGGGTGAACATTTGAATGGGAAAATGTATTGTATGGAAGAGTTAAACGATTTTGATATTGACTGAAGCCATATTTGGTCTGACACATTGCAGCCATTTTGTGAAAATGGTAGTGTTTTCTCCAAATTGTCACTGGCGTTACCGTCACTGGTGTTACTCTTCTTACTGGTAACACGTAACACCAGTGACATTCCTATACAAATAAGCTTTGTATAAAGTATAAAAAAAATAAAAATATTTTAAGCTCCACTTGTTGTGTATTCATCAAGTTAAGAGTTAGTTATTGCTATTTAACAGGTTTTAGATGTTTTTAGAAGGAATATATTTCAGCAGATTTGTATCACCCAGATTCCACATTTTCTCTAGTTTGTGCACACAAACGCATTTTACTCTGGGCTCAGCAGGTGAAAAGCTAAAGAGGGGCTTCCATTTGTTGGAAGACCAGGTGTTGGTGCTGCCGGATTTGGCACCCCCACTATAACTTTGTCCAAGATAGTCGTACTGTCACCAAAATCACACTCTAGTTTGTGCACACAAAAGTGCTAGTGGAGCACGCTCGTGGACTGTTAGCGCCGGAGCCTCGCATCCCCACTGCGGAGTGCATAATTGCGCCGCATTTGCGAATTAGATGAATTGCGCCGCATTTGCGCATAAAATGAGGCCCCCTCCGCAAGATGAGGCCCCATGCAGTCTGCGTGATCTGCGTGTAGGGAGGGGCGGGCCTGCCCACCAGTGTTGGTTGTTTCCATCTCATTTGAGAAGGTTTTCCATTTCCATGATGGGAAATATATCGGTCAATAGAGAGAAATTAAATCATTTATTTTGTTCTTCCGCTTAGAAAACTAGACGAAACGTCCAATAATTTACTACCATTGTTCTTATTACATTTCATGTATAAGTACTTTGAATGAACTAACACAAGTAACAATAAGTCACTTGGTCCTATTTGACTTTACAATCCCTGGGTAGTTACTTGGAAAGTACTACTAATGTAGTAAAATACAGTGTCAGCTGGCCATCATATTGCGCATACAATAAAAAGTACATTTAAGGCTTTATAATATACCATAGTGAAAGGGGAGATTTTTTCAGTGAGGATATTTGCTTTTGAAACCCTTTGTACATTTTGCTGGTAATACTGCTAATGTAAAATTCAGTATCATTTTAAATACAGAACTTTAATTTGTAATAGAGTTCTTTAACACTGTGGTGTTTCAGGCTGGGTTATTTCAACCACTATACCATTTATTCTCAACAATAGACCAAACATGTTAAGCACAAAGACACACACACTTCCACATCACATTGCATACAGACTATAGCATGAAATGCCTCAACTACTGTAAACACTTAACTACAGTTTTGCAGATAATTCAAAGCAGACATGCAATGATAACATCTGTAAGTAAAAAGCGGGAGGTTAATACACCATCTCTGTAGATATCAAATGTTGCTACCTGATGGTGACTTGCAACCGAGAGGTAAGAAAGGTTTCCAGGTCTTTATGGAAGTGGAGGGCTTGTGTGTGTGACAGAGCATGTGTGTATGAGTGGTAGATGAGTCTGTAGCAGTAACTGGTCTGACTCAGGTCAGGATGTGAGAACGTGTCGATGAGCTTAACTTGCTCCACGGTCCCATGACTGGCCTCTCGTATCACAGCGTGGAACTTCCTCTCATCCCACGTCGGCCCTGTCCAGAAGCTGATGTCAAAGCTGAACGGTTCGGGGTACAGGGAGAATGGTTGAAAAGGTTTCCCTGGCGAAGGACAGAGTTCAAAGTGTTGTATAAAGCGGGGGTCATGTGACCACAGAAGCCGCCAGTCAGGGAGTGAAAATAGGAGCACGGCAAGGAGGTCCAAATTTAGGGAAACAGTGACGCACTCATCACTTATGTTGTTATCACCTTCATCGCTTGCAAATACCCTGCCAACCAAACCCATAGGCTGTGCTATTAGACGCAGGCCTCTCTGTTCTGTGACTAGGGAAACACCGTAGGGTGCGAGCAGCTCTTCCAGCCTCTGTCCAAGCAATTTCATTGGCTCACGTTCTGAAGGGAAAATCCCTCTGAGGAGAAGCTCGTGAAAGGCTGGCGGGGCCCAAAGGTTGACAGGCACGTTCTTGAAAACCAGGCCGCTAAGGCCAAATAACAAGCTGGTGACACCATTACTGACCCCAAATGGCCCCTCCTTCTTATGTCCTTCAACACTTGTATTATTCCCCTCATTCTCCCCATGCCTCCCTGCATTGTTAATCAACTTTTTAGTGAGAAGCTCTTCCATGTGAGGAAGCAGTGATGGACGCAGCACATAAAGACAACTCTCGCTTTCAGGATCAACCAGAGAGCATGCAGACATTAAGCTCTCAGCTTCTTTGATCCTCACTTTATCTGAGGTAGCACACGTGGCCGGCAGAGTGTCCGTGTGTCCATGACTATCCAAAACCGGATCTTTCTCTATGTTTTTAGAGGTATGAGCATCACAGTTCTGGTGTTTCTGAAGCAGATGGATCCAGCAGCAGTCTGTGCTTTTGAAGTCTGGGCAAGACGCCTGCAGCTGTTCTGCTGTGAGGAGGAAGGGAACGGTTTCTGTCGTCATAGAGATGGACCACTTATCTGCCAGTCCTTTGAGAAGAAAATCTTGCACCATCCTGACAGGGTGAACAGAACCTGAGCAAAGCAATCCCCTGATGAACGAGAAGAGACAGTAGTAAGCATGTGGTTATATCATTTTTCTTTTGGTTGCCATGGTGGCTTCTTACTGATGGAGCATGAGAGTCTCTGCGTCAATGTACCTGAATATGTAATCGCTGAGCTCAGCTGTTATGTTGTACTCCACTCTGTGTCTTTCAACTGCCTCTTCAACCTGAAGTGTCTGAGCAGGGCTGAAAGGGAGGCTTCGAGTGAACACGTGGAGCAAACCTTTCTCCACATGAAAGCCCTTATCCTGGCTCCTGTACAACAAAACACCAGCATTAGAGACGGTATGCAAATACACAGGGACACAAAGGGCCATTTCTATTTATACACCGCAACACTCACCTTTACTCCTTACCTGTATCCGGTGCACTTGTAGCTCTGGTATTTGTCACTTTCAAAAGAGTGGACATGACTGAGGATTAGATGTGCCTCTGCTGCCATGGCAACCACCTGCCAGCTGTTGTGCCACTCTCTCTTCGGGTGGTCTGCTGGTGTCCCGCCCTGTCCGTTGCATAAGGAAACATGAACCTCCCCGTCTTCAGACAACAGCTGAACACAACTGGAGGCACAGGAAAACAAGTATTCAGTATGTCATCATGGAAAACAGCCATTGTAAACTTCTTTAATTTATAAAAGAGTGCAGTCATACCTGAGGAAGAAGTTTTTGAGAAGTTCTCTGTTCTTTTTCACCCCACTCTTTCTACCGCAGTGAGGGAAATTGAACACTACACGATCAAATTCACGGCCTTGAAGAGAGGCACATTCTGCAAGCTTCGTGCAGTCCACCCCGAAAATCAACTCTCCACCTAATCAACAAAATGTGATATACAAATCAACAAAATCAGTGGTGGGTCAAGTAATCAGATCTTTTACTCAAGTAAAAGTAGTAATACAGAGTAGAAATACGCTATAATAGTCCTGCATTTAAAATGTTTGGTAAAAAATATACTTTAAAAACAATGCAACTAAGTACGCCATGTGTATTATATGTTTAATCATATTTCATTTTTGTTATTTTTGATTCATACTATAACTACATGTTTATTCTTATTGTAGCTTATATTATTTTATTTGTATTCTTATTATCCCATGTTTACTATCTATGTTTCTGTCTAATTCTGTTGCTGCTATGACAACCGAATTTCACTACGTGCATCAATAAAGGTCCCTCTTAAAATAATTGTTACTATTGATGAATTAGTCAGAGGATTTCCCTTATGGATCATCAACAAATTATAGATTGAATGACAAAACCAATGTTTGAAGTTAAATATAAGATAATTTCAATATGTAACCTGTTGTTAAGAGCGAGGACTCGGATGTGAGCTAACCGTCCTCTGACTGCACACAGTAAAGTGTAGTTAAAAGTAGCAGTACATGTCAAAAATACTCAAGTACAGTACAAGTACTTAAGTGTGTGAGGTAGCCTATGTGTGTAGTAACTGTCCACCACTACAAACAACTATGTACAAACAGTACTCTCATGTACCTGAGTCCTGGACGGTCTGGATGTTGGTGGCAGCGCCTTCATGCCGCAGTGCCTCGTCCTGATGCTGCAGGCAAGTGGCCGTGATGTTGGTCTCAGAGTATAGCTGGCTCACAGAGGCAGAAAACGAGAAATTCCCTTCTCCAACCAGCAATATGTTCCGTGAAGAACACATGGCTAGTAAAAACTGAATAGGTAGGACACCCAAAAAGTAACTTACTAAAACTATTCCCTGAAGGATATGGCCGAAGGCGAAAGGAGAGAGAGACGAGCAACAGATGACCAGCTGTAGTCTCTTCTTCACCGACTATTATAATCGTTAAAACTACATATTTTAGTAGGTGACGTTCCTATCACGCGTCTTATGTAGTATCGGCTAAATAACTTGAATTACATTGATTGTAAGGTAATTGAAAACAGTTGGCCTTCTCCTACTCCACGGCGATGCAGCACATGAAATATCTTACCTGGAGCAGCTCGCGTTGAAAGCGGTGTCCCAGATACAGTGGTCCGACCAGAAACAACATTTAGGGAACGTTTGCCTAAAACCTCCAAACTTCATAACAACAAAACGTACGTATTTAAATATGAATAGATGGGTAT